GGTGTGCCAAAAGGGGTGCGCTGGGCGCGTGCGAGCGCTGGAAGTTGTGCCTTCGGTGGAGCCCCCTACGGGGCCACGACGCGTGTGAGGGTTTAGCCAACATGGGTGCGGCAGGCGCATGCGACCGCTGGCATGTGGGCTTTCGGCGAGCCCCCTCTGGGGCCATGAAGCGTGTGAGGTGTGTGTGTGTGTGTGTGTGTGTGTGTGTGTGTGTGTGTGTGTGTGTGTGTGTGTGTGTGTGTGTGTGTGTGTGTGTGTGTGTGTGTGTGTGTGTGTGTGTGTGTGTGTGTGTGTGTGTGTGTGTGTGTGCGTGCGGTGCGTGCGTGCGTGCGTGCGTGCGTGCGTGCGTGCGTGCATGCGCGTGTGCGTGCGCGTGTTCGTGCGCGTTGCGCGTGCGCGTGCACGTGCCCGTGCGCGCGTGTGCGCGTGCGCGCGCGCGTGCGTGTGCGTGTGCGTGTGCGTGTGCGTGTGCGTGTGCGTGTGTGTGTGTGTGTGTGTGTGTGTGTGTGTGTGTGTGTGTGTGTGTGTGTGTGGTGTGTGTGTGCGTGCGTGCGTGCGTGCGTGTGTGTGTGTGTGTGTGTGTGTGTGTGTGTGTGTGTGTGTGTGTGTGTGTGCGTGCGTGCGTGCGTGCGTGCGTGTGTGTGTGTGTGTGTGTGTGTGTGTGTGTGTGTGTCTGTGTCTGTGTGTGTGTGTGTGTTTGTGTGTGCGCCAATATTGGTGTGCTGGGCGCGCATGCGGGCGCTGGCATGTGGGCCTGCGGTGGAAACCCCATGGGGCAACGAAACTTGCGAAGGGTGTGCCAAAAAGACCGCGCTGGGCGCATGCGAGCGCTGGCATTTGGGCCTTCGGTGGAGCTCCGCATGGGGCCACGAAACGTGTGAGGGGTGTGCCAAAATGGGTGCGGTGGGCGTATGCGAGCGCTGGCATCCAGGCCTTCGGTGGAGCTCCCCATGGGGCCACGGACGTGTGAGAGGTGTGCCAAGATGGGTGCGGTGGGTGCGTGCGAACGCTGGCATTTGGGGCCTTCGGTGGAGCTCCCTTTGGGGCCACGAAGCGTCTGAGGGGTGCGCCAAAATGGGCGCGCTGAGCACATGCGAGCGCTTGAATGTGCGCTTTCGGTGGGGCTCCCTATGGGGCCACGAAGCGTGTGAGGGGTGTGCCAAAATGGGTGCGCTGAGCGCATGCGAACGCTGACATTTGGGCAGTCGGTGTAGCTCCCTATGGGACCACTAAGCTGGTTGGGGGAAACGCATGCGAACACCGACGCTGAGGCTTTGGGTGGGGCTCCCTATGTGGAGCCACGAAGCGTGTGGGGGGTAAGCCGACATGGTTGACTGGCGCGGCTGGCAGAGGCATGGGTGGGAGAAAGGAGGAGAACGGAGGAGGAGAGGAGGTGGGAGACGCGGGGTGCCGTCCCTCCAAAGCGAAGACCCAGCATCGCAGGATGGTTGGGCAGACTTGGGAATGACCAAATTCTTTTCGGAAGCTGAAATGTGACAACCAATCAATTGTATCAATCGCGTTCCAGGCCTCAGCAAAACGGGCTGTTTTGTGGCGCAATGCGCTTTCATTTTTGCGCGGGGGCGCGCGCTGTCGCGAGCGTGCACCGCGTGAGAATACATTGGACATGGCGAACTAATTCTCGAACGCTGACTTGTGAAGACAAGCTGTTTCACTCCTGGTATGATGAGTAGTGGCACGCTACGCTTTCCTTGTTGTGCGGGCGCGCGCGCATGCGCGCGCTGTGTCAAAACCAATTGGACATAACTTGAATGTAAAACGCCAAATTTTGCACTCGCATTCCAGGCAGCGGCGTGATATGATGAGTGCGGCACCACGCGCGTTCCTTATTGTGCGGGCGTGCGGGCGTAGGCGCGCGCGCGTGCGCCATGCGAAAATCAACTGAACATGAGCAACCTGATTGTTTCACTCGCGTTCTCGGCCCCAACATGGCACGATGTAGCGCGACACCACGCACGTTCCTTACATCCCCAATCCGATTTTTTCTTTTGGATTGAAAATATGAGAACACCGATGGATCCAATTGGATTCTTTTCCGGGTGTGCGACATTGTGGTGGATCCTATTTCTGTCTTGCGCGGATCCACTTTCCCGTGTGTGAGAAACCAATGAATGGATCCACTTATTTTCCGGGACTGTGTGGGGGGTCTTCCCAGGACGGAAAGGAGAAGGAAGAGGGAGGAGGCACGAGGAGGGGGGGGAGGGGAGAAGGGACAGGAGAAGGGAAGAGAGAGGAGGAAGAATCAGGGAGGAGGGGGGGAGGGAGGAAGAAAGGGGAGGAGGAGGGAGGAGGGATGCGGAAGGAGGAAAGAGGAGGCAGGAGGAAGTGGGTGGAGGAGGGAAGAGGTGGGAGGAGGACGGAAGAGGGAGGACGGGGAGCCTGAGGACACACAAGCATAGTGCCAAGATCGGAGACTCGAGCACCACAGCGGGCCTGGCCACCTCCCTCAACTCCTCCCATAACATATGGGTGTTCGAGCACCACAGCGGGCCTGGCCATCTCCTGAAAATCCTCCCATGACAGAAAATTGCTCGAACGCCACAGCGGGCCCGGCCAACTCCCACATTTCCTCCCGTAACATATTGCACGCCCCAAGCAGTAGAGAGCGCTACATGTATACGCTCACCTGAACGGCGCGTTGCTTCGGACATTTGGGGCTCAAGAGGAAAATCTTTCGGCCTGCGTAAATATTGCGCGGGCGTGCGCCATTTTAAGAAATACAAGTTATCCAATGTGGGTCCCAAACAATGTTTTCTAGCAGTAGAGATTGTCCCGCCTGTGTGGAGCAATCAATGTGGTGGCATCTGTATGGCGCAATCAATGTTGTGCAACGTACGTTGTGCAACCTGTCCTGTGCAGCGAAAGTGGTGCGATCTACGAGGTATAATGTACATGTACAACCTGTGTGGAGTAATGGGGCTATCGAATTTTGCCGAATTAACCTAAGTGGTGCAATTAATCCTGCCGAATTTGGAATTGTCGACTCCAGTGCTCGCGCCATCACCCCACTACCCCGACGAAACCAACGGTTTTGGGAGGATTTCAGCGATCGCGCGTGACGGCGCGCGCACGCAGAGAGGGGCGTTCCAACGACTTCAACATGCGAGCGCGAGGGGCCCGGTTGGTAGTATTTTACGAATAGGTTGAAACGTTTTTTGTTGTTGTTTTGTTTTTCTCCCCCTCTCCCCACTTTCTTTATTTGTTTCTTATATATATATATATATATAAAATTCGTAAGAGCGTGGGCGCAAGTTTTTTTGAAAACTATTGGTGCGAAACCATGCGTTGTTTTATATGTTTCCGGGACACTTGATTTTGAAATCCTTGCGGAACTATTTTTTTGAAAGATCTTTGAATGCGCGCGCGACGACGCGAGCGTGTGCACTTCGTCCTGTTTTTTTGCAAGGGACTCTTGAAAACTTCTTAGTCTTTGATAAACAAATGTGCGAGCATAGTTTATGTTGGAGAAGATGAGGGGGGGGGCCCCGATACCGGCCTGCCTGGGATGTGATGAGCTAATCTTTTAATGGATTACGGGGCAGAATCGTGTGTAAATTGCAATGCAAACAAAAAAAGAAAAAGGGAGTCGTTAATTCTTGGGGGGGGGCAGATCCTGTCTCTTTTAGAAAGGAGAGTATGTTGTGTACAACCCATGTTGTGCAGTCTTATTCGTGCAATCTATGTCGTGCAATCTGTGGTGCAAGCATTGTGGGGCAATACATGTTGTGCGGACAATATGGTGCGCAACCTATGCAAAACAAGCAAAGCAAGCAATGCAAAACAATGCAAAGCAGCGAACCTCAATGCAAAGCAATGCAATGCGAAGCAATAAAGCAATGCGAGCACTGCAGCGCAATGCAATGCAATGCAATGCATATCACGGGGTAGCAATACACGGGTGGCGACGAGCCGGCGACGGCGGCCACATAGCCGCCAGACCGAGGGCACGGCCAAGACGACGGGCGGCGACGAGGCGGCGACAAGGCGGCGGCGGCGGCGGCCGCATAGCCGCCGGACCAAAGACACGGCCCAGACGACGAGTGGCGACGAGGCGGCGACTGGGCAACGACGGCGGCCACATAGCCGCCGGACCAACGATACGGCCCAGACGACGGGCGGCGACGAGGCGGCGACGGGGCAGCTACGGCGGCCACATAACCGCCAGACCGAAGACACGCCCCAGCTCTTTAGAACAGAAGCAAGAATCCCTAAGTGCAAGCACTGTTTGGAAAATCAGCTGGAAATGAACAACTCCAATTCGACGAAGACTGCGGGGGGAGCACCCGAGACCGCGACCAACAAGGAGGACGACGACGGCGGCGATGGCGACGACGACAGAAACGACGACGAACTGCGGATGTCCCATTCGGGGGGCGTGCAACACAAGGTCCTGCGACGACGACGACGAACGACGACGAACGACGACGAATTGTTCGGACGCCTCATGGGGGCGGGGGGCACGCAGGGCCTGGCGACGACGACGACGACGACGACGAACGACGACGACGACGAACGACGACGACGACGACGGCGGCGACGACGATGACCCACCGACGAAACTGCGGATGCCCCATGGCGGGTGGGGCGGTGGGCGGGAGGGTGAGCGCGGAGAAACGCTGCTCAACGCAAATCTCATTCGGCATTCTTGTGGACCCTCGGAAGGAAGGTGGGTGTGGAAAAGAGTGCCGCCAAAACGCATTCCGCGATTCTCTCTATCCGCGGACGGACGTGAGCTCGCAGGAGGGGGGGCGCCTGGGGGACGTGAAGCCGCTCGACCCCCTGATCTCTCCCTCAGCAAGACAATGTCTTTGATCCCACTCCCGCTCCCATTCCTCCCCCCTCCTCCTCCTCCTCCTCCCGCTCCCCCTCCTCTCCCCCCTCCTCCCCCTCCACCCCCTCCCCCTCCTCCTCCTCCCGCTCCCCCTCCTCCCGCTCCCCCTCCTCTCCCCCCTCCTCCCACCCCCTCCCGAGGCCCCGGCGACGGTCTGAGCTCGACCGCCCTCGCGAGGAGGCGCTTGGCCCTCAGCAGCGGCTCGGCCTTCCGAGGGGGCGCCCCGCCGCCGCTTCTCTCCGCTGCGCTCCCCAGATGCTCCTGTTGAGGTGGATCGAGGATCGAGGATCGAGAGGGTGAGGATCTATGATGGCTCCTCTTCCTGCTGCTCCTCTCCTCCATGCTCCCTCTTGCCCTTCCGCCCCTGCGCTCTCGTCCTCCGTCCTCCTTCTGCTCTTCCACCCCCCTGCCCTCTCCGCCCCCTTTCAGTCTCCATCCCCACCCTCCGTCCTGCTGCATCCTCCGCCCTCCTCGTCCTTAATGCTCCATGCGCGTTCCTCCTCATGCCGTGTTCTCCATCATCCATTCCCTTTCTCCTCCGTTTCCTCCTCTCCTCAGCCGTTCAATACTTCATTCGGTGGTTCTGTGGCCCACTGCACCATTGTGGATCCCTTCGTGTGGCTTCTTTCAAGATTTCACTCAGCGGCTCTGTGGCGTGCGCCGTTCGAATCGGTGTCTCGGGTATGTTTGCAAGTTCGAAGGTCGGATGGCGACGGGTGCCTGCAGCGGTGCCGTATGGTGCCTCGTGGTGACGAATTGGCCCGCGTGACGATGTATTAAGATCCTGGCCTGAGAGGGCGCAGCTCGGATCAGGTGGCCTGCAGGTGCTGTGCGCTGCCCTGCGATCGTGTTGCGTGTGCCACCGTGGGCTGCCTCGAGGACGGCCTTGGTGCCTCGGTGCAATGGTGTCAGAAAATGACTTGCGTAATGCCCCGAACTTGAACTCTGTTGCCTGGGCGCGGGCGGTGCCGTGGGATGATGGCGAGTGCCGCTGTGCAGTGCTCCCCAAATCCACGGCAGCAGCCCCATGCCGTATGGTGCTGCGAAATGGACAGAAATTGCTGCCGCAAGTAGCGCCTCGGCATCCGACTCGGTAGCCTGGCGGTGCTGCCAAAATGTTCTGCAGTGCCATGTGTGGCGCAAGCCCCGGGGTCAATCTGGTGGCCCCGTGACTGTGGTGCAATGCAAGATTGCAGTATTGTGCCTTACGAAATGTACCCAAATGGCCTGGTACATACAAGTGTGGAGCGCGATGGTGCCATGCGGTGCCGTATGTCTTACTCTGAAATGCGATTCGGCGGCATGGTACCGTGCGGTGCACTGCAGTCCTCCTCAAGTAACTGTCTCGGGTAATCGGGGACCCAATTCGCGATCCCCCCGCTGTCCCTAACATTCAAAATGATGAACCAATGTTGGAGGGGGAGACAGCCGAGCGATACTGTCAGCACCCGAAACAATACATCAATGAAATGTTCGCTAGCGTGGACTCCAAACATTGTACTGGTACCAACCGATGTTGTCCAGCATATGTGGTGCATGCTTATGCTGCGCAACCTGTTGTAGAATCCATGCCACTGCTCGCGCAACCATCACACCCACCCACACGCAACTTGGTTTGCATAAGCTCATGCGGCGGCGATCGCGATGAATGCTTGGTGTTGGCTGATGCGTCTCTGCGGTCGCGCTCGCCCGCGCATGCTCGCGCGCGCAATGGCCAGCTAGGCGGGACCGACGTGGCCGCAGTGGCGCTGACCGCTGGGCACTTCCCAGCGGGGGCACTCTGGTGCGAATCGGCGACTTGGGCGGTCGCGGTGTCGCGGCAACGTCGACAACGGTAGAAACGATGATGAAAGTAGCGATGCTGGTGACGATGTTGACAGCGAGGGCTGCAAGGCTAGTGACGGCGCCGATGCTGATCACACCGACGATGACGGCGTCCTAGCGTCGGTGATGAAAGTTTGAGACGGTGCTCGACATGCGCGCGCGGCCGACGCGCGAGTGGCCCCCCATGGTTTTATTTGACACGGATCGTGTCCCCCCAGCACGCGCGCAAGTGCGTTGGAATGCTTTCGGCATGCGGCGCGAGAGGCCCGTTTAGCAGAGTTTAATGGACGCAATGAAATCCGATGGTATTTAGAAGAATTCGCAAGACCGCGAGCGCAAACCAACTGGCGTGATTTTTGGGATGCATGCGGGGCCCCACTTGTCACTGACAACAAGCGAATCAAAAAGCCTCTGCGGCGGTTTTGGAAGGGCGCCTACGATTTAAGAAACCTGGCCCGTAAGAAAGTGACAGCCCCTGGCGCGCTGAATATGGCCGCGGCATAAGAAATCCGCAGGGGCTGAAACGAAAAACCAACTTTCTTATTTAGCGCCGTGGGTGTAAAGCATTTTTTATATAATAATAATCCGCCGCCCCCCTTGTGGGGCCACCAGGCTGCAGGGCGAAGGTTCGCAGTTTCCTGTGCCAGTTGCAGCTTCGAGTTTCCACTGTTACACTTCTGTTTCTTGCTGCTTACGGTTCCTTGTTGACTTCTTGCTGCTTAACTGTTCCTTGTTGATGGACCGCGCGAGGGGGGATGCCCAAAACGGAAATTTTTACCACGCCCTGGGAAGGTTATCATAATTTTTGGGGGGTAACAATTGACACCCCTCATGCATATCGGCGGGGTCAGGGTCCAAAAGCACACGGGATTTGCCACATTTCTGAAAGTCGGTGGCACCCCTCACGCAGATCGGCGGGGTCAGGGTTCAAACACACAAAGGGTTTGCAAACCTTTTGAAATTCGGTGCCCCCCCTCACGCATATCTGTGGGGTCAAGTTCAAAACCACATGGGCTTTGCAACATTTCTGAACATCGGTGGCGCCGCTAACGCAGATCGGTGGGGCCGGGGTCCAAACATATTATCCCAGCAAAGTAACCTATCAGCGATGTGTAGGAGCATATCTGGAAGCATTCCCCTTACTATTCAGATGAGGACCCAGTTGTAGAATTCTGCTGTTCTCGCAGTCGTAGTCACATTCGCGATGACAGTCGCAGTGGCAACGGCACTCGCAGTCACAGCCTCAGCCTGCCTCCGCCTCAGCCTCAGCCTCAGCCTGCTTCAGCCTCAGCCTTAGCCTCAGCATCAGCCTGCCTCAGCCTCAGCCTCAGCCTCAGCCTCAGCCTCAGCCTCAGCCTCAGCCTCAGCCTGCATGAGCCTCAGCCTCAGCCTCAGCCTGCCTCAGCATCAGCCTGCCTCAGCCTGCCTCAGCCTCAGCCTGCCTCAGCCTCAGCCTGCCTCAGCCTCAGCCTGCATGAGCCTCAGCCTCAGCCTCAGCCTGCCTCAGCATCAGCCTGCCTCAGCCTCAGCCTCAGCCTCAGTCTGCCTTCCGCCTCGGCCTCAGCCTCAGCCTGCCTCAGCCTCAGCCTCAGCCTCATCCTGTCTCAGCATCAGCCTGCCTCAGCCTCAGCCTCAGCCTCAGCCTGCCTCAGCCTCAGCCTGCTTCAGCCTCAGCCTCAGTCTGCCTTCAGCCTCGGCCTCAGCCTCAGCCTGCCTCAGCCTCAGCCTGCATCAGCCTCAGCCTCAGCCTCAGCCTGCCTCAGCTCAGCCTGCCTCAGCCTCAGCCTCAGCCTCAGCCTCAGCCTGCTTCAGCCTCAGCCTCAGTCTGCCTTCAGCCTCGGCCTCAGCCTCAGCCTGCCTCAGCCTCAGCCTGCATCAGCCTCAGCCTCAGCCTCAGCCTGCCTCAGCTCAGCCTGCCTCAGCCTCAGCCTCAGCCTGCCTCAGCCTCAGCCTCAGCCTGCTTCAGCCTCAGCCTCAGTCTGCCTTCAGCCTCGGCCTCAGCCTCAGCCTGCCTCAGCCTCAGCCTGCATCAGCCTCAGCCTCAGCCTCAGCCTGCCTCAGCATCAGCCTGCCTCAGCCTCAGCCTCAGCCTGCCTCAGCCTCAGCCTCAGCCTGCTTCAGCCTCAGCCTCAGTCTGCCTTCAGCCTCGGCCTCAGCCTCAGCCTGCCTCAGCCTCAGCCTGCATCAGCCTCAGCCTCAGCCTCAGCCTGCCTCAGCATCAGCCTGCCTCAGCCTCAGCCTCAGCCTGCCTCAGCCTCAGCCTCAGCCTGCTTCAGCCTCAGCCTCAGTCTGCCTTCAGCCTCGGCCTCAGCCTCAGCCTGCCTCAGCCTCAGCCTGCATCAGCCTCAGCCTCAGCCTCAGCCTGCCTCAGCATCAGCCTGCCTCAGCCTCAGCCTCAGCCTCAGCCCTCAGCCTCAGCCTGCTTCAGCCTCAGCCTCAGTCTGCCTTCAGCCTCGGCCTCAGCCTCAGCCTGCCTCAGCCTCAGCCTGCTCAGCCTCAGCCTCAGCCTCAGCCTGCCTCAGCTCAGCCTGCCTCAGCCTCAGCCTCAGCCCTCAGCCTCAGCCTCAGCCTCAGCCTCAGCCTCAGCCTCAGCCTGCCTCAGCCTCAGCCTCAGCCTCAGCCTCAGCCTTCAGCCTCAGCCTCAGCCTTCAGCCTCAGCCTCAGCCTCAGCCTCAGCCTCAGCCTCAGCCTCAGCCTCAGCCTGCCTCAGCCTCAGCCTCAGCCCTCAGCCTCAGCCTCAGCCTTCAGCCTCGGCCTCAGCCTCAGCCTGCCTCAGCCTGCCTCAGCCTCAGCCTCAGCCTCCTCAGCCTGCCTCAGCCTCAGCCTCAGCCTCAGCCTGCTTCAGCCTCAGCCTCAGTCTGCCTTCAGCCTCGGCCTCGGCCTCAGCCTGCCTCAGCCTCAGCCTGCCTCAGCCTCAGCATCAACCTGCCTCAGCATTCAAAATGCGGGCCGGGAATGGAGTTCTGGGAACTCGAAGAATACGAAGTGGCCTACAGATGGCTCGGGACATTCAAAATCATGCCCAGGAATGGAGTTCTGGGAACTCGAAGACCACGAAGTGGCCTACAGTTGGCTCTGGGCATTCAAAATCATGCCCAAGAATGGAGTTCTGGGAACTCGAAGACCACGAAGTGGCCGACAGTTGGCTCTGGGCATTCAAAATCATGCCCAGGAATGGAATTCTGGGAACTCGAAGAACACGAAGTGGCCTACAGTTGGCTCTGGGCATTCAAAATCATGCCCAGGAATGGAATTCTGGGAACTCGAAGACCACGAAGTGCGTTACTGTTGGCTAAGAAAGGAATCCCCGGCACCCGTCCGGATCCCGCCCAGACCCCCCTGGGGAGTCATGATGCTCTCTTTTGAGCCCACTAGAAACCTAT